AAATTTTAAGAAATTTAAAATGGGACAAAAACAAATGCTGCAGAGAAACATGCATAAAACAAAAAGAGGCAATAAAAAGTGGAAAGTTTCTAAAGAAACATCAGTAAAACAAACAATATGCAGCATTGGAAACAAAAACTACTCAATATGTTTGACAACAAAATTAAAACGTCACAATTTTGGGGGGAAAACCATAGCACAAGAAATAAAATATCTCTGAAAACAAAATTGTAAACCAAAACAACAAAAAAAAGTAATCTGATTTTGCTATTTCAAAAAAACACAAAGGCTTCACAAAAACAGATGGACATTTATTGTGTCATTTATTATCATGAAAAATTTCTTATCATGATAAAAATATTGATTTATCGTGATGTCAATAATTCCAATTTATGTTTAAAACCCAGAAAGCTGGCTGTATTGTTGTGATTACTATCACTATTTTCTCCACTGTTTGTTCCAGGTGAGCATCATTAAATATTAATACGTTCAAACACGTGAACAAATGCAGCTACTGTCTGAATTTCAGTGATAAAAGTCACGTGTTCATGTAGTTGGTGTCTTGTAAAAGCGTAGTTCAGCTGGGAATGATTCTGTGTTGGTGCCTTGCAGACACAGCGACACATTTACCTAGAGAGACAAAACAAGCATGAAACAGGTTTTTTTTTATCGTCATTTTTATCACAATAGTACCAGGAAATATTGTGATAAGTTTACTTAATACTTTAAGTAGTGCTTTAGTTTGTGTTCATCTCGTTCACATTTTATTACTTTACATTTATCTTCTGTAAAAACCATAGTGTGTTAAATTAATACCAGGGAAGATATGTTTTTCCAGCATTAATACAGAGAGTGGAGCTAAGGTTGCATATTTTAGTCAGCATTGAGCTTTTTAAATCGGGATTACTCCATAGATTTGGAAACAAATGACATTTGAGGTGATGCAAGGCAAGACGTTTAATTATTTTTCTTTCTTTTTTTTTTTGCAGATTACGTTGTTTTTGTGATCAAACTTAAACTGAAACACGTATGTGGTTGTTTGCAACCTAAACCCAGATCCGGTTGGAGATGAAGTATTATCCTCTGCAGTAAATGATTGAAACATGAAGGTCTAACTCAAATCTGGACTTTTTTTTTTCTTCAAAAAAAAAAAAAAACACTCAGAAAGCCTCAAAGATCCTTGAGATAAAAATATACGAAGGCGTGTGTGTGTGTGTGTGTGTGTGTGTGTGTGTGTGTGTGTGTGTGTGTGAGGTCATCCTCTAGTTTCATCTCTGTGACACTGACCTGACTGCTCGCCCGCTCTCTCTCACACGCACGCACACACCTCTCTCCTAACGTCTGCGCTCATCACTCTTTCCCTCTATACGCAAAGTCAGACTTTTCATTAAACTTGAATTACGTTCCCTCAGTTATTTATTCTCCTTATTAGCCATGATCTCATCCCCTCTCAGCTCCTAATTATCACATTAATAATGGAAAGATGTGTGATCAATTAGTCAGAGAGGAGAAAGAGAAAATATGGGTCGAGGAGGGAGAGGATCCGGGGGGAGGGAGATGGAGTGAGAAGGGGAGCAGAGGCAGGTTAGTGTTTCATGTGATAAATGCCACTCAGATAATTTTACCACGGGATCATTTAACACGCATCGCCGCGTTTCCCCCTTTTTTCTCTCTCCGTTTGTTATCCAGTCTCTGTGTTGCCGCCTGCCGAGCTGATCAGATGGGTAAACTCCTGCGATAAGCTAATCTAATCACACCCCAATTACCGCACTATTAGGCCCAGTCTGACGGAGACCAGCACCTCCCACACTGGCACAAACAGACGAGGAGGAAATGGGAGTCCAGGTAATGGAGTGTGGAGTCTGACACGTTCATATCACCTGATGGATCACGGCTCCACCCGGTCCCAATACGGGCAGGCAGGCGCGCAGGTCACAGTGCGCTAACGCTGCGGCTGCTACTGCCAATGAAAGAGGAAACCAGTTTTATCTGGAAGGGTCGGTAATTGAAACTCAACAGCAGCTTTATTAGTTTTCTGGTTGTTATAAAAGAGCTAATGTGGTCAGCACCAGTTCAGCGGTGACCTCACGCAGAACAGGTTTTGATTATGCGAGTGTGTAGGAGTGTTTCATTGCAAGTAATCAGAGCTCAGCTTTCATGGTCGCATATGCAGGCTCACACTGCAACTGTGAGGAAAACGCGTTATAGAAAATATGTTCAACACTCTACCTTAGCCTTTTCATGTTTTATTCATCGCTACATTTCTGAAAGCGATGGTTGTCGACTCCCTTAATTTGGCTTTGCATGAAGGTTTAACAAACATGTTTAGGAATTTTATGACTTTTCAAAGAGCACTATGAATGAAACGTAACAACTATATCACGAAATGCACAAGAGCAACAGCCATAACTGCTTTTTTTTGCCCTTATTTAAATTTATTTATTCACAGAATGAACTTTAGCATTCAACCAACTGGTGTTAAAGTTGCACTTAAACCGTGACAGTCGCAAAAAAGATAGCTAGCTAGCTTTTCTCCTCCCTCTGTTTTTACTGCATGAACCAGAACCAATGGTTGCTGCTAATATACCCGTCAGTTAATTATTTTATTTAAAATGGGACAATGTACAACATTAAACCACATGAGGAGAAATGTACTACACCAGGTTATGGCTACAAAGGCTAATTTCCTCCTGTAGTGCCCAGGTGGAAATTAGCTAGCAAGCCTAACCCCATCTAGCTAGCTAGGGTATTTTAGCACATGGTTAGCTTCAACCTAGTCATAGTAGCAGATCTGATAAATAACTTATTTTAAATGTTTAGTGATAAAAAATATAGACTTACAAGTCTTTCAACAAAAAAAAAAAAAAACAAGCATGGAAAAGGAAGAATCCAATGCTGATGTCAGGAGCTTAAGTACTGAGGCAGGGTCACTAGGTGATATAAGAGGCAGAAACACTAATCAGTGGTGGTACAGCTGTGATAGCAAAGAGACAGGAAATAATCTAAGAAATTTAAATTAAAGAAAAAGAGCAAAAAGGTATACCAAGAAACTAAATATAAAATGAAATAATACGGCAACATCTTAGAAACAATATTAAACACAGAGAAATTAACTGAATATGGCAAGACCTGTAGAACATAATTAACCCAAACAAGACGATCAAACACAAACAATAACCAAAACCCAAAGAATGTGAAATTAGTACCATAGTAGATGGAGGCAAGCATAAAAACCACCAATAAGTGGATGAGGGCAACATGAACTGAGATATTTAACACTGGTTATTACAGATTCCTAAAAACAAGGTTTGTGTATTCCTTCCCTGTCCTCTGGACACGTAACAAATGGCTTGTCTGTATTTTATTTTTACAATTTAGCTGAAATTAGAAAAAGGAAATGTAACAGAAAGTTTTGCTGTACTAAAATATCAATAATTAAGAGCTCAATGTTGGTTTATTTTTTAAGTTTAAACATCTGATTTTTTTTTATTTTTTTTCAATTAACGTTATGACTCCATATTTTAGCTCCATACTGGAGCTCTTATCACCCCTTGTGATTTTCCGGCATCATTAGATCCAAAGCAGGGATGGAAGCCGGATTCTGCATCACATCTCTCTCATGCCTATCAGCAAGGCGCTCTTTGATGTGGAGCAAAGTGTTGCTCCTCTGATCTCGGTTCCAGGTGGGGTGGTAAACACACACCTGATTTAAAAAGAAAGAAAAAAAGCGCCTCATTTAGCTCCAAACGCAGCTCTTACAGCATGTCGGAGGCGTTCGGCAGTCGACCTCTCCGGAGCTCACCCCTTCCCCTCCTCCCCGCTTCGTCTAAATTTAACAATGTGAGACAATACGGCCGGTCCGGGTTTCTGGAGAAGGTCCTGAGAGGGAGGGGATAATGAACGACGATCCGGAATAGATTGAAAACGAATCCCGGCTATATTTGCAGACGGAATGCCCTCGCAGGTGACACGGGAGAATTGCTTGCTGCAGGACATTGTAATCTCTCCATCATTTTGTCTCCTTTCCTGCCACCCTGCTATCACGCCATTTGGTCCAGCTTGTAATCATCCCCTCGGGACAGCTTCGCCCTCCTCTCGCCAAAAACTGATGTCTCCTTCACAGGCTGATGCCAGCTTTATGGAAAGATAAAAGAAGTTTGAGCAAAGATCGGAATTTAATCTCTGGAAAGCGAGAGAAAAAATATTAACCCGCAGGGGTCTCCTATCTCAAATTTGTTAAGAGTCGTAATTAACAAAACAACTGAGGAAGAAACAGATGTGTGTATCTGCCCAGGCAAAAAGCATGCAATGTGGAACTGGTTTTTTTTTTTCCATATCTGTTAATATGGAAACATATTGACAGATATTGTGACAGCGTAATCTAAGACCGATAATCTGTGTAAAAATCAAGCTCGTCTGCCTTTTCCCAGTGCTACTACAGAAATAGCTCAGTTAGAAACAACCAATCAGAGTCAAGAGGAGGGTCTTAGCGCTGTCAATCAAGCTTCTGTAAGCATGGCTCACAACCTTCCCCTATGCTGTCTGCTGTCTTCTGCTGTCTTACAGACAGTAGAACCTGTTACTAATGCTAAGGCTAGTTAGCATCGTGGTGGATAAACAGTTTTCCTGTTTTGTTCGGAAGCTGTGCATTTTTTAAGGTCATTATAGTAGCTCAGGGAGGATGTGGAGGTCTAGATTTTTTCTGTCACAGATTATCTGTCTCGTACCATACCGTCACAACATGGTGACAGTTTTAATATGTAAAAAACTGATTTAAAAAAAAAAAAGAATACATAAAAGTAACATTCTGCAGATTTAATGGGGAAAAGTGTGCAACTGGAGCCACACAACAGGGAGCGAGTGAAAAAGCGCTCAAAGCAATCACGGTTCTGCAGGGTGCAGGAGATGTGCTGGAGGCGCGAGGTAGAACAACGGAAACAGCAGTTAACGGCGCGAGGAGAAGGGGACAGCACGCCTGACATTTATAACATCCCATAGAGCCAAAGTCAAGATTTACACTCACACTCAGTGGGAGGAGAAGGAGAGGGGAGGAGGAAGCCCTTCAGCTTGGGGAAAACTTACCCTTCAAGTCACCTACGCGCTCCGAGACGTGAAATCAACCCGCCAGATCGAGGATCTGCTCGTGAGCCGATACGCTTTAAAAGCACCGGGCGCCGTGGATTTTCCAGCAGATGCGCTCGGAAATAAATGCCATTATTAATCCATACCTGTCTGTCATCTCCTGCCCATTCCAGCAGAGGGAGTTGTTTGCTGCGGTAGGCTCCCGACTGCACAGCGCCTCCCCGAGGCCGCTGTAGAAGGAGCTGAAGCTTTTCAGGTTGGTGATGAACTCCCTGAGGTGAAACGGAGAGAGACAAAGAATAAAACTGTCACAGAGGAAGAGATAAAGAGAGAGAATTCAGCTTAATAAGACTGAGAGCAAGTTGATTAGATCCACCCCGACGCCCCCATGAGACACAGAGATTAAAAGGGGCCAGAATAGGCGGTTGTCTCTGCTCCTTAATTGACATTAATCTGACCATTTGGAGACTGAAGCCTGCAGTCCTGCTGGGCAATTACGGCGCTCAGCTGGGGTCTCGAGTGGAGAGAGAAAGAGTGTTACAAGGAACCTGGTGAGACTGTGAGGAGCCTTTAAGTCTCCTCACTATGGAAGCTCTGTGCATTTTACATTAGAGATCAAAAACCAGCAGGGGATCACTGAGAATTTAAACCAAAACGATACATGGTTTTCAAGATTTCTATTTAAAAATCTGTTATCCTGAAAAAAAAAAAAAAATCTTAAGAGTGTGGCATGCTTTGTATTTTCAGCCATTACTCTGATCCCCCAACATCAGCAAATCCATCTGTGTAAATTATTTTCTTGTTGAAAGAAAGCAACATTCCCAAAAAAGACAGGATCGTGACATACATAATATTTAAAGTGCAAACAAAAATGTTAAGTACCTTCGTAAAATGGCATCCTTAGAGGTCAAAGTTCTAAAAAAGGAATTCTATATTGATATAATTCATATAAATTCGTAACATTTTAAAATGTTTTTTGCCAAAAAAACAAACTGGAAAACGTTACAATTTTCCTTTGCAGGTTGAGCTTTCTAGAGACGTTGTGAAACAGGAAGTTAAAGTAGAAGGGAGCTCAGAGGATTGGTCACAATTCAGCAGGGTTGCTGTGGTTGGTCAGAAAAGAAGCAAACCTAGAAAATATTACAACGATCGGTCAGATTTGTGGAAAAGTTGCGATGAATGGTGAAAATTGCAAGTTTGCGCAAAATATTTGAATGATCAGTGAATTTGCATTAATACTTGCGATCGCAAGATCACAACTTCCTGGAGGGACTGTTTAATCGATGAAAGACAGCTGATCAGAGTTAATGAGAAGGGAGATAAATCCTTACTTCACATTAAAGAGCTACTTTGTGTTGGTTTGTCTCATAAACTCTCATTAATTCTGACAAAATATAAAACACTACAAAACAGACAAATTCTTCCAACCAGTTAAAGTATATGAAATTATTAGATTTTTAGCAAATTTGTTCAGAGCACAACCAGAAAATTCATCTTCCAGTTCTTTGGTGACCCGCCCCTTTCTTCTAACACCACTCTGGGCAACTGCCTGTATAAAAACCCGTCACTGTTTCCAGTGATTTCCTCACCTGCGGAGTCCAGCCAGCGTCTCATCGGAGTCTGAGGGCTGAGTGTCCCGGGTCGCAGCCGCAGCGGGAGGCTGATGGAGAGGCGGGGCCTCCACGGAGCGGGAGGCTCGCTTCGTAGCGTGTCCACACATGCCGCTCACCTGCAGAGCAGAGAGGAGGAGAAACCGACACTGAGTGAGCGAATTAACTCCCCTCCCCCCCCCTCCAGCTTCAACCTGTTTATTTCATCTCCTATAAGAAGGGATGCTTTAGAAAACAAGAACCTGTCAGCAGCCAAACCGGCGGCGCTTCTTCTTTTTCTTTTTTTTTTTCCCCCACTGAGCCCCTCTGCAAATTGTCATCTGTTTTCTGTGTGTTTATTTTTGGTAAGGATGAAAGCAGTGGGAGTGAAGTTGAGGGGGGTTGAGGGGGCATTGGATTTGCGTAACAAACAATTCACTGGATCCTCTGCCAGCCGCCTTGTTCAAATTTGTAATCATAACTCTCCAAAAAAAAAAAAAAACACAAAATGAGCAGGAAGCTGAGGCCTCCGGTTTGTCCTGTCTGTCCGCGCGCCGCGGCTGCCATTGTGTCGTCCACGTGGGATGACATTACAATAACAAATAAGGAGTCCCTCTCCGTCTCCCGGAGATAATGGAGCTGGCACATTCTTTTCAGGTGCAATAAAAATGCAAATGGCTGCTAATGTTTAGCTTGTGATTTAATGATTTGGCGGATCCTTAATTTCCCCCGGGGATGCCGGCCGAGGCTTAATTCTGCCATGTAATGCTAACAGCTAATTGTGCCCGGCTTCCCTTAAAGCGAGCTGCCTGGAGAGACTGCAGCTGAATACCAATCGGTCCGGACGGAGTAGCACCGTATGTCTTCATTTGGTTGTAGCAAAGGGCCACAAGCTCTCTCACACACACGAAATCGTGTTTTAATGACTTGTGGGGACTTTACATTGATTTCCATTAATTTTCAATAGCCCAACCCTTACCCTGATACTAACCATCACATACCAAACTCCCTAACCCAAAAACAGCATTTCCCCTCATGGGGACCAAGAAAATGTCCCCACAAAGAGCAATGGTCCCCACAACCCACATTGTAGACAGAGATAGGTCCCCACGAGGATATAAAAACAAGGCACACACACACACACACACGCATGCACAAATGTATGGACATGGTCGTGCGCAAAGACATACATGTTTTACAGCTTAAACAAAAGTCCTTTCATCTATTATTCACTTGAGTAATGCACCTGAACCCATTAACATGACACAGTGCTACATCACACACACACACACACACACACACACACACACACACACACACACACACACACACATAAACACGCACGTTACTTAAGCATTTTCATTCAACAAATGCTGACACGCTAAAGCGCTTATTGTCAAGAACACAGATTTATCAGGGTTAATCTATTCAGAGCTGCCACAGCACACACACACGCACACACACTCCGCCCTAACAAACACCAGGTCGTCACCATGGCGACTTCCCTTCACCTCAGAGCTGATATTTAACCATAACGAGGAACCCTGAAACCAGATTCTGCCCCGTTAGGATGGATCCGCAGTGCCTGTGAGGCCGACTTGTTCTGACAACATCCGGGTTTACGCCGAGAGAGAAATGACACAAACGAGCGCATTGTGCAGCGATACATGCGGTATATTGCCAGGAGTATTACAATATCACTCAGAATCTGTGTGTTACAATTACTTGGATGCTTGAAAATCGAGCAGCTACACATTCAAACTGCTTCTGCAGACATCGGTGACCATCTGCAAAGCTTAGAGTGACAGAATAGGACTGGGCGAAATTCAATAAAATCTTGCATGTTTAGTTTAATGTTGAGCAGATTAAAAAAATTCTAACTTTTTTTTATACATTTTAATACAATTAATGTAAAATTTCGAGGCAACCAAAGTGCTTTCCACATGAACTTTTTACCTTCTGGTAAAAAGTTAATATAATGTCCCCAGGCGCAACGCAGAGTTTCTCCTTTTCTTCCTACAATATAAAATAAGTATTAAAATTGTTTTTTTTTCTCATTATGTAAGTTTTTTTTATTTGATCTTCTTTATCCAAAGGGTCATACAGCTCTAAGCTAATCATATTAGTAGAATGGAAGGTAAAAATGTCTCTATGGATTGTAAAGAGTCTTATCTAGAGTGACACATCACGTCTCCAATAAACAAGTCTGGGTTTGGCTAACAAAAAGCTACCTTCCTGACTGCAAGAGTAAAGTTTGGTGGAGGGATATTCAGATGTGGTGTTGCTGCCCCCTTAGTCCTGGTGACAGGATGTCTTGACGCAGCAGCAAATGCGCTCATATATTTTGGTCCATTTCATGCTCCCAACTTTGGGAGCGGCTCTCTGCAGTTGCTACATGACTGTACACCAGAGCACATAGCAAAGTCCATGAGGACACGGATGAGCAATTTTGATGTGAGAGAACTTGACTGGCCTGCTGTCCTCAACCTGACAGAGCACCTCTGGGATGAATTAGAGCAGGCACAGTGAGCTAGGGCTTCTTTCCCAACGCTCTCCTGGAAAATCAGTCAAATATTGTCATAAACACGGCTTCAGACCTCACGGACAGCCTTCCCAGGACAGCAGAACTGTTGTAGCTGCAAAGGATATTGGACAAACTCCATGTTGAAGCCTTGTGCATTAAAAGGTGCACTGATTGTTTCATTTTATAGCACAATCAAGTAGCTATGTTACCTTCAGTTGTCATAAAAATGTTTATATATATAATATGTTTTCTGAACCATCTGAATGACCTGCCCTTTTTCAATCTTGGTGTTCAGAGTGCATGGGGGTCATAAAATAAACCATAGCAACTTATTTTCTTACTGATTCACAGCATTGATGTCCTATGCTAAAATACATCTGCCCCGCTGTTCCGTCTAGATAAAAAGATATGTCAATAATTAAACCAGAAATAACAGTGATTGCTTTACTGTGCAGCTCAGACAGCTCAATCACTTGTCATTCAGTCTGAGATGAGAGAAAATCAGACAAGATTGATGAAGGACAAAGAGTGTCAGAAAAATGCTAATTACACATTTATGCTCATCAAACAATGCAGTAACAATATACAAAATGATCCTGCTACCGAAAAGCAAAGAAACTTTATTCACTTACCTGTAAAGCATGAAGGACAACATCAGAAATAATTACATCATGTCTCTGTTTTAAGCTAAATAATCATTCCTTTAGAGCAAACCAAACTATTCTTATATGTCAGATTTATCTAAATAACAAATCCTAATTTAACTACAGAGCCACAATTTATCAATATTATCGGTATCGATATCAGTCTTTTTTTTTAAACATATTGGTATCAGTCCGACAAAGTCAATATTAAAACGAATATTTATTTCCATCTTGTTGCCGTTTGTTTCTGAAGTGGAGGAGGTTGGTCATGTGACACTGATACTTATGTAGCAAAGGATTGTGGGTAGTTTAACTGAAGAAGAGAAGTAGTGGTGAAGTCAGTGGTGTGGTTGTTTTTTTCAAGACGTCAAAAGGGTAAAAGCAATATATTGGTAAATATCAGTTTTCCGCCATGACAGCAGTATTAATATCGAATATCAACATCAGCGCATGTTTAAAGTTTTACTATGTGTTTTCCAGCCACATCTTATCATTATGTAGCACAATGAAGTAATTATGTTACCTTATGTTATAAAAATGCCACATATAAAACGTGACATAAAAGAAATTTCACTTTGCAATTTAACACCTTGAAATTGGGCCTGTCTCTTTAAGAAGTTCCTACTCTTTCTGAGACTCCGCCTTCAGCACAGCAACATTCTTCTATTAGTGTTTACAGATGTTCATCGAAGCACTGGACTGAGAAGTAGCTCATATAATAAGCTGGGCAGATGCGGAGAACCACCATGTGTTTGCTAATTTCTGCTGGCTAGTCTGAAGGAGAGGAGGGAATAACATTAAGACATGATGCAAAGCTCAAAATAGTCAATGTTACATAATACTGCCACTTGAACTCTGACCCCTAGGTATACTGCCAACCTCTGTTGTCCAATGGTTAAAATAAAATTGACATCTCTGATCACCAACAATCTAAACGGTGTTAAGAAGAAGAAGAAGAAGAAGAAGAAGAAGAAGAAGAGCATCCATGGAGAAAATCCCAACACCACTGTAAGGTGCCTCTCTGTCCGTTTCTCTGCCAGCTCATTTCCTCCTCTCACATCTTCCTCTCATGTAACTCTTTCATCCTTGTGGGGCCCGCAGCGAGCGCCGCCGCTCCCGCAGGCCATGATTAATGCGATCGGAGCTGCGCTCGCCTTTTTGTTTACGCATTCCCGGGAAGCCGTGGGGGACTTGTGGCACAAGCAGGGGAGGGCCCAGAGGGAAGCGGGGACTGATTCAGCACACACACTCTGCCCAGCCCGATTGTTTCCGGATTCCTCCAGGAAGGGGGGAACTCACTAGCCGAGCAGGAGCATCACCCAGGGCTGGACCGACACAACCAACAGGAGAGTCCGCCGATAAAGCCCGGCTCAGCGGGGAGAAGTGGAAAATGTTTGTGTGCCTCTATCTGTCCCGAGCAGTCCACCTCGCCAACAAACACAGACACATACATGTTCTGCTGAGCGTCTGCTTCTCAGTGTCTGTGTGGCACTTTGCTTGTGCAAACACGCCGTAAAGATAATCTCTAAACAAATCGATGGGAATGCCCGTGGGCCAGGAACAAATGTATGATGAGGTTTTTACATTGTTGTTGATCATGAGGATTTACACCAACTACGAAAAGAGAAAAGAGAAAAGAGAAAAGAGAAAAGAGAAAAGACTCCGTCCATTGGTGAAGCTGGAGAACATCCGATAAGGACCCAGTCAGTCCTCCTCCACCTCCTCCCTCTTCTTCTCCTTCTGCTTCAAAATGGACTCTCGTCACCAGTGGTAAAACTGACAACTGGTGAAATCCATGTATTATTTCCGCTGAAAACCTTTCAAAGTCTCAAATGAAGAGAAAAGGATGGGGAGGAAAAAATAGTCTTAATGTGACTGAAAAGTCAAACAATATCCAGCTGTCACAGTTATCTCCAGAGGAAAAGAGCTCTGGCTGTGTTGAAAATGAAATATTGTCTTCCACTGTTTCATA